TATAGAAACTAGTTTTTACTTTTGATTTTGAGATAATATACAATTGCTCAATTTATTCCTTTGCTTTCTTCCTTTCAAACACACCCATATTTCTTCTGTGGTCTTTTAAAAAAGGTTGTGGCCTCCTTTTACAAATATTTATATGTATCTCCTGCTCAGTCTGTATAATGTTACTTGGATGTATGTTTTTAGGGTGGACAATTTGGTTTTGCATAATCATTTGGTGTGCTCTTCCCCAGCAAAGACTAATTCTCCCACTATCAGCATTCAGCAGTTTCTATAGGTCTTTGTGCAGGGTAGGGGACTTGTGGACTTTCCCCTTATCTACTTTTTATATCTATTGATGTCCTTCTTCAGCTCATGTTTATGCAGTCATAGTGGTGATGCTTACGGGTATAGCTTCAGACATCCCTTGAAATATCACAGCAAACATCCTAACTCTAGGTCTTACAACTTTTTTGTCCTGTCTTCCACTATATTCCCTGAGCTTTAGCTACGGAAGTTTTGTAGATGAATCCATTGGTAATTAGCTCCACAACTTTGCATTTTGATTGTTTAAAATTAACCAGACAATAGTTATGTTAACTGGCACCTAAAAACATGCAACTTCTATGGTTCAACTATAAAATGTAACTCCAGAGGCTAGTGGGATGAATGTCTAGTCCTCAGATTAGAGATGTAGTAATCAAGAGATGAGCATATTGAGAGGGCTCTGCCATAGTCAGTGGGTTAATCTGATGCAGATTCACATTAGGAGACATTTGAAACTTTCGGAGATGATGGGGCTACATGGAGAAACAGTCACTGAAGCTTTGTTCTTGACTGTATTTTATCCCTTCCATGCTGCCATAAGGTGGTCACTGTGCTCTGCATATGCCAACATCACGATGATCTGGTGCTGCACAGTTCAGGAACAAAGGAACCGATTTTTCATGGTCTCAAATCCCTGAAACCTTTTTCCAAAGTAGACCCTTCCTACATAAGATGTTTTGCCTAGGTGTTTGCTGTTGTGACTAAGAGTTTGGCCAATACAAAAGCTAAAGCTTTGAATTCTGGCTTTTAGGATGATTCAAGAAACTTTTATTTTTTCACGTGTTTAAACACTGTAGTATAATTTTCTTGAGATCATTAAATGTATGCAATGTGAATTATATTAGTATCAAAATAGTTTTAACTGTTTTTCACATAATCGGTTTTAAGCAATATCCAGAAGTATCATATATCTGTGCCTTTATTTTTATTTTAATGAAACAATCCTAGAATTCACTATTAAGCAATAATCTTCTAATTTATACTTCTTTTAATTTATTTTTAAAGTAAGCATAAAAAGTAGCAGATTTCATTATTGTACCTTTATACATCCTTTCACTGAGTTGATTCTCCTCAGCCTCTCTTCTGATTCATCTGTTCCTAAGTACCCTATCTCCTATCTTTCACCCCCAACAGTCTCTTCCCATTCTCATGTTTCATGTATTGTATTATCTTCCTTACCTCTGTAGGCAGAGTAGTCATATTCTCACCTTCTGTTCCCAAATAGCCAACAGCCACTTCCCAAATAACAAAAGTCAGCCTAAGGTGATTCTTTGTTATGTGTGTTTGAACAGGAAAAATGTATGTCGCATGTCTTGTAGTTCTTCTAGGTTTATTTCTTTATGTTTGTATTCAGAATTTTGAGGGGGTCTTCCTATATCAAACCTGATTTTCCTTAACATGGAATGAATCCATTGCCTCTTGTTTCCTGGGGGAAATAAAAGCATAACCTCTCCCCCAAAGTAATATATTTTTTGACTAAAATTTTGAAGTCAAAACAGCTATGAAATATATATGTTGGTTGTCTCTAACAGTTTTAATAATCCAGTACCTTGTAGTACCCAAAACGTTCAGGATCCAGACTTTCTGCATATTTTCCCTCTTCACATGATGTATTATATTTTTTATTACTCACTCTATTGATTTTTATGGACTATCTCTACCCCTTTTCTTTCCTCTCCCAAGCCTACATATATTTTGAAATATAGTATGACCTGTTTAGAGGTTGTTTTTTTTTTCTGTCTGAATCTGTATTTACTTACCATCAGTAACCTTATTGGTCTGCATGAGCAAAAAAAGCTAACCCCACCATGTAGCATGCTGACAGAGCTCTCAAGCCTGCAGGCAGTGACTGGGAGAAGCCTCTCTGTCCTGTTGTCCATGTGGGAGACTGTGGGAACCTGCCCCATGCTTAGTTCATAGTGGTTGTTGTCCAGCTGTTGGGAGATGTATCTCTGTGCTACAGCTGGCCTGAGACTGTTAGACTAGGAAGCTGCATTTGTCTCTATTTCTGTGTGTTTAGAGCCTTTTTAAACAGCTTCCTCAGGTTTTATGTGGAAATTGTTGAAAAATATTTGGGCACCATATGTAGGCGGAATTTTCCTGTCCTGACTGCCTATTCTCAAATAACCAGCAGCTGCTTCCCAAGTAACTGACTCAGAGACTGAATAAAAAAGTATAAATGCTTGACCAATAGTTCAGGATTATTACTTCCTATTAAATTTTAAGTTAGCACACATTTATATCAACGTATGTATTGCCATGAGGCTTGTGACTTTACCTGTCCTCCAAGATGTCTTATACTCTGTTTCTCCTGGTGACTCCTCTGACTCCACTGTTCTTCTTCCCATCATCCTTAGTCTGGCTTTTCTGCCTAATTTCATCCTGTTTGGCTATTGGCCAGTCAGCTTATTTATTAAACCAATCATAGTGAGACATATTCACACTGTGTGTAGAATGACTATTCCACAGCACACTTCCTTTCTTAATACCCTTTTTTTCACATTCATGGCCTCCTTTCTAATTTTCTGACTCATACAGGTACTTACATACAACTGAAACATTTAAAAATTGGGAAATAGGTTCTGTATATGAAGATGGATATCATGTATTCTTATTTCTGGCCTTGGATTATCTCACCTAAAAATATTTTCAAGATCCATCCATTTTCCTTCATATTTCATTCTTTTATTTCTACTTGTAGTTGAATAAAATTCCATTCTGTATGTACCACACTGTCATTAGCCATTCATCTGTTGATAGACACTAGTGTAAATAGAGCAGAAATAAACAGGGTTGTACAAGTGTCTTTATTTAGAAGGTAAAAAATCCTTTGACGTTTTTTAATAGTTGTTTGGATAATTCATTATAATCTGACAAGAACTGAATTGAATCTATAGTACAATCTATTAATTGTACCAAGTCAAGAACATGAGAGCAGTTTCCTATATCATGTATTTTATCCATTTTCTTTTTCATTGCTGTAAAATTTCATTTTACAGGTGCTTCACCTCTTTGGGCAGGTTTACTCAAGGGTGGTGTTTGAAGCTATTGTGAGTCTTAAAATTTATTATTGATATTTTTAAAAGCTACTATTTTTTAATGTTGAGTTTGAATTTCATAGCTTTACTGAGTGTATCATTTATCAGATCTTGAAGATTTTTGGTGGAATCTGTATGGCCTTTTGAATACAGAATTATTTCATCTACATATAGGGATAATTCAATTCCATCCTTATTTCTATGCTTTTTATATATTTCTCTTGTTTGTTGCTTTGCATAAGACTTCTGAAATGATATTTAATCAGATTGTAGGATGGTCACACTTCTGTTACTTTAGAAATTAGCTTTTAGTTTATCATAATTTACAATAATATTGACTATAAGTTTATCATATACAGTCTTTATTACATTGAGGGATGTCCCAACTTTTCCTATATTTTTTACTACTTTTAATCGTGAGGTTGTGTTAAGCTTCATCAAACACTGTCTGTATCTATTGAAATCATCATTTGATTTCTGTCCTACTTCTATGTTCTATGTGTGTGATGTATTACATTTATTTAAACATGGTGAATTGACTTGTATCCCTGAAATGAAAGAAAATTGATTGTGATGTATGATGTTAGCTGTGTGATTCCGGAGATATTTTTAGTAAATGTTTATGAGCAACATATTTTTCTTCATCAATATTGGGAAGAAAACATGCATATTGTTTGATGTTCATTATTTAAGCCTAATATAATTGATTTTAAAACAGAATTGCATTCCCCATATCTGTGTCACCAAACCACTCCGACATCAGCTTCTGAGTTCTGTTCCTGAAACACCAACCAGCAAAGAGAGCAAATAGGACATAACTCTCTCATGGTGGGGCTAGAGCCAACTTTGGAGAATCAGCTAGAGATAAACCACTAAGGGAGGAAATAACTGCAAAACTTTCTTGAAAAGTATACCCTCTACTGGAAGGGTAAAGAAATCTTGTTGACAGGCCTAGTAAAGTCATGCTCCCTGAATTTAGACAAGATCAAAAATCCATTACACTTTCAATTCCTACCCCTGCTTTTAAGTTTTTTGTTCCAGAAATTGTTCATGAACCCACAACATATTTTTGCAGAATGTGAGTACTAGTACTTTGCAGGAGAGCTCTGATTACTCTTAATAAAAATGTCCTTATCCAAGTGTGCAATAGTAATGATGAAAGGTATCCTGCTGACACACCACAGACAAGGAGTAAACAGAAGAATACCCTATGATGATCTACATGTGTGTGCCCATACCAAGCTGTTTTCATTACTCTTGCTCTATGGTAGAGCTTGAAGTCAGGGATGGTGATGCCTCTGGAAGTTCCTTTATTGTACATGGTTGTTTTGAATATCCTGGGTTTTTTTTATTTTGCTTTTCCATATAAAGTTGAGTATTGTTTTTCCAAGGTCTGTGAATATTCGTGCTGGGAATTTGATGGGGATTGCATTGAATCTGAAGATTGCTTTTGGTAAGATTGCCATCTTTACTATGTTGATCCTACCTATCCAATAGCATGGGAGATCTTTCCATTTTCTGGTATCTTCTTTGATTTATTTCTTTAAAGACGCAAAGTTCTTGTCATAAGGGTCTTTCACATGTTTAGTTAGAGTTACCTCAAAATATTTTATGTTATTTGTGGCTATTGTGAAGGGTGATGTTTCTCTGAAAAATTTGGAATGCTTTCTGAATTTGCCTGCCATCCTTCTACAGGGGCCATGCTAATCTTCTCTGTATTGTTCCAATTTCAGTATATGTGCTGCCAAAGCGAGCACCATTTATAGGTTTCCTGAGAAATTTGAGGTTGATAAGGTTAATTATTAAATGGACAAACTCTAGAATAATGAGGTAGACCTATGAATGATTATCTAGAACAAGTTAGCATTTAGGCATGCCTGTGGGGGATTATCTTTGTTCCCTTAATTGAAGTAGGAAGACCTGCTTACTGTGGATGGTATCCTTCCCTTGACAGAAGATCCTGGATTGTAAAAGAATCGAGGAAGTGAGCTGAATACTAGCATACATGCATTACTGCTCTCTGCTTTTGACTGGGCATGTAATATGACCAGCTCTTTCAGCTTCTCTCTGCTATGACTTCTCTGTCGTGGTGGACTGTAACCTTGAGTTGTGAACAAAATGAGCCCTTATCTCGTTAAGTTGCTTTTATCAAATTATTTTATCACAACAAGAAAACAAACTAAAAGAGCAAAGGGCATTTTACTTTAGTTTTTAGTTCTTTATGAGAATATAGTCAAATCACCTACTAAGAATGTTGCAGGACTTAGGAAGACTGAAAGGTTTGCAACATACATACTTCAAAACTGGAGAGTAATATGTAACTAGGAATATGTAGTATTGGAAGCACAGTTTAATATTAACACCAAACAACTTGATTTTAATGACAATACAAGGATTGGCTGGAGGATGAGAACTGGATTTTGCCTATGAATTGAAAATTGGTTAAGTGTGTAAATAGTCTCAGGGGCAATTACAATGAAGGGCAACACAGTGAAAGTAGACAATGTGAAGGTGGAAACAATGAGAAACGTTACAAAGAAAGCTATGTGGAATGATTTGCTCATCAGAATGGTGAGCTGGGCTGGAGGAAGGTGAGTGCACATCAGATAGAGTGCATGAAGTGGAAGTGGGATCTTTGAATAAGGCTGAAGTGTTGTCAACATGGTACAGTGAGGTGGTTTGAAGGGATGACAAAATCCAGTGTGCATCTGTGGTCATCCAGGTAAAAATAGTACTTAAGTCAGTATCAAATCATAACTAAAATATTAGATGCCAATGTTGAGTGAGCTGGGATAGTGATTAAACAAAGAGAAAATGAAGATGAATTCAGTGCAAAAATTATCAGTCTTAGTTGGGATAGCCCAAGATGTTGTGGCAATGTGCACACAAGGGCTGGAAATGGGTATTTATAGTTTTCAAAAATAAAGGACATGCCAAACTTAGTGGAGACTGAGTCCTCAACCTATACAAAGTACTATAGGCAACTGAGGACAGCTGGGACCTGGAGAGGTGGTCTTCCATAGGGGAGAGCACACCAATTGGCTGCCCCGTGTCAAATGGTCAGCCCTAAAGACATACACACAGATATCATTATACAGACTGAGCAGGTTTCATTTAGTTATATATATATATATATATATATATATATATATATATATATTTATATGTATAATGTATGGATGCAATAATGATTCGTTACAAAGAAAAAATACAGGCCATGAACTTGAACAAGAAAAGAGACAGGTATATGGGAGGTCTGAAGGTAATAAATGGATGGGAGAAATGTCACCAAATTATGTTTTCAAAAATAAATAATTAAAAAACAAAGGACTTTTGTACAAAAGAAAAGAATGTAGAGTGGGAAACAAAATTAATATATTTGTCATTTCTAAATATGCTTCTGCTCAGCTGAATCTTTTCCCAAAGCTATAACCATACACATTTATTAAACTGTTTGTAATAAAGAAGTAGGCATATCAGTTTCCCTGGTTCCAAGTAATATTAGGGATCACATATTTAAATCAACTAAATGCATAATGGGTATAATTCAGATTTGGTTATATAACAAGTTCTTAATAAAATAAAATTTACATTTTTCTATGTCTCAATGTTTGAATTTACTTTTATTCTCATTAAATGAGATGACATCCAATAAACATAATAATAAATATAATCACATTTTAGAAAATATACAGACCATGTTATGACTATTACAATAACTTTTATTTCAGTATTGATTTCTATATCCTGTTTCTCTCAAAACTTGAGAACTCTCCCAATATAGCCTATTACTAGCAGGAAAGAAATGAGTTGCTTTTTATTTCATCTCTAAGGAACAATAGATGAATGAGTTTTATTATAAAAGCTATAAAGCAAGTAAGGAGGTAACAAATAATCAAATAGAGTGCTTGATGGAAATGCTTAAAGTCTGCATCTGCAGTGGTTGAGATGGTTAAAACAGATTTTTCTTCAGCCTGCAGGCAATTCTGCTTTCTCCAGCTGCTTTATTTCAATCATCCCCCTGAGAGAATCCATTTGGTGTCTAGGTTGAGACTGGCCACTTTCTCTATGAACTTTGTGTGAGAGCCAAAGTGTATTTTTCTTCTTTATGTAGCAGTCATGTGGTTTCTGCTGTACTTTTACAGAAGACGTATTTCTCACTGTGTCTGTGTCAGTGGACCAAATAGGCATCTAGACTACTGTTTTCTTTCCTGAAAAATCAATAAAGTCAGGAGGTGATGGAAATCCCATCTGTACAGATCATTCAGCAAAAGTCTAAATACAGCATGAGAAGAGAGAGTGACTTGATGCCATCTCTGAGTGGTATAAAATAATGGGTATTGAGGATAACCAATGAGGACCTAGGAAAGCTAAATGTACAGAAAATTAGGGTTGGGTCCTGGCCAACCACTTAGTGGTAATACTAGAAATCACTTTTAAGACTGTGGATGACTGAAATTAAGCATGGGAACAACTGCAAAATTTCAGAGTTTAGCTACCCTAGATATTAAAGGAAGAAAGAAAAGAGTCTTTTCTATAAAATGTAAACATAAATCTCATCCATAATTTAGGAAAAAGGTACACATGTTTAAAATTAAACATCCAATCCTTCCTGGGCTTTATTGTTAGCTGTCGGACTGAATTAACTACTTTTAAGCAAATATGGAAGATATACTGTTATTAAATCTTTTGTGAGGTGTGTTTATACAACTCACATGTAAACAGATATTTTAACCATGGAAATTTAGGCCTAAGGAAAAGGAATATCTATTTCCTAATAGTTATAAATACACAGATTTATCAATAGTTACAAATACACAGATTTCCCATCAGCCACATTTGCCGTGTATTTTATAATTATTAGAGTAAGATATTTATATGGACAAGATCGTGCCTGAAATCCATTACAGTTGCTTTTTTGAGTTACAATATAATATTAAAGGGGCAAATAAGAAATCACAAAGTTTCACAAAAGAAACCTGTAGTGGTTTCATTTCCAAGTTGTCTCAAAAATATTAATATAAATTATTAGTAAATATTATGTTCTTGAAAGAATAACTGTAATGTTCATTTGAGCGACTTTCAATAATTTTGATTTAATAATGAATATAGAAAGCTACATATAGCAATAATGGAATATTCTTTTCAAATGTTTATATACACTATATATAACTAGAGTGGAGAGAAACTCACTTGAAGTGACATAGGCAAATCCATAATCAAGGCCTGAATACCTGAAGCATATAGCACAGGAACCATTTGGAACACTTAAATGACTACTTCTAGATGCTAGTTATGAAATAGTATGAAAGGCAGAAACTCATGTAGGTTTCTATGCATTTTCATATTTATATCCATGAAGCCCATGTAATTCTCACTGTAAACATATGAGAAAAACTCTCATGTCTGCAAGGACAAGGGTCAAAGTGATTATTAAGAAATGATTTCGGGGCTGGGTGGTGGCGGCACACACCTTTAATCACAGTATTTGGGAAGCAGAGGCAGACAGATCTCAGTGAATTTGAGGGTAACCTGGTCTACAAAGTGAGTTCCAGGACAGCAAGGATTATTACACACAGAAACCCTGTCTCAAAAAACAAAACAAGCAAAAGAAAAAGAAAGGAAGAAGGAAAGAAGAGGAAGAAGAAGAAGAAGAAGAAGAAGAAGAAGAAGAAGAAGAAGAAGAAGAAGAAGAGGAAGAGGAAGAGGAAGAGGAAGAGGAGGAAGAGGAAGAAGGAGAAGAAGAAGAAGAAGAAGAGGAAGAGGAAGAAGAAGAAGAAGAAGAGGAAGAAGAAGAGGAGGAGGAGGAGGAGGAAGAAGAAAGAAGAAGAAGAAGAAGAAGAAGAAGAAGAAGAAGAAGAAGAAGAAGAAGAAGAAGAAGAAGAGGAGGAGGAGGAGGAGGAGGAGGAAGAAGAAGAAGAAGAAGAAGAAGAAGAAGAAGAAGAAGAGAGAGAGAGAGAGAGAGAGAGAGAGAGAGAGAGAGAGAGAGAGAGAGAGAGAGAGAGAGAGAGACGAGAGATTCGGAGTTTGCCAAAGCCCATTCATTCTCTCTAGAGAGAGGAGGAAATGGCCCAGGAATGCTGTGATGAGCAGGGCAACAGGGACAGGGAAGAAAATGAGTAGAGGAAGGATTTGTGAAAGTTAAGCACCTGCATTGTTTGTGATTTAAACTTAAGATTAGAGAACAGTGTCCTCATTCACACCTCATTAGTGAACCGCTATGGATGTAGACTAATGATAGTAGTTACTTACAGGACAGCTCAAAGCAGTGACTCTGGAGGTCAGTTGATAGAAAAGCATAAAGTCAGAAGAAGCCAGAGTGAAGATGCTGAAAAAATCTGTGGCAAACAAACCTGCTTAGGTAGCTTAAATACTAGTGACTCAATACAGAGTAGTTTCTCTGAATTCTTGTTACCTGAAAAACATAGCTGGGCTTCAAGAATGTTTATAAGACATTTCAAAAGGCAAGAAACAACTTTTAAAGAAACAAAGTAATCATGAGCATATACTGAAATACAGTGCAGCTGTTAGAACTGTGTTCGGTGAATTCTAAGAGAAAAGAAAGGACAATGTACCAGAATAGATGAATAACACAGACAGTGAATCAGAAAAGGGAAGATATTCAAAAAGAAAACAATAGCAACTAAGTTCACAATTGCAGAAATGATTAATGCCTTTTATGACTCATTGGTAAATCTAGGGGGAAGATGAGGTTAGAGTCAAACAATTAAAATATAAAAGGCAAACTTACAGAGTA